AGGTCACACGACAAAATGACTCCAATTTGCAAGGGGCAGCCAAGCATGACCAGAAGGAAATGAAGTTGTGTGTTTACCAAGAACCTCTTTGCTTGGCTCAGAATATCCTCAAGTCCCCATCTCAAACCTGCTCTCCTGTTAAGAGAATGCAAGACAAATTCTGTCTAAGGTACTGTGGATTTTGCAAGTTGCTAGGATATTAATATATTTATCCACAACCACAGACACTTGGCTCAAGAACAGCCCACTCAGCCCTCACTTGAGGCTAGATCATGGGGTTTCAATCAACATGAAGTCCTGAAGGGGCTTTTATGTCAGCCAGGGACATGGTCATTGCTTGGAGGTGCCGCAGCTGAAGTTTTTCTTCAGGTTTGGTGATGATAAGTTATTTTTGTTAAGTTGATTTGCTTTGGCCTCTTTTGAGGTTTCAGATTCAGTTGTGATTTGCACCTGCCTTTTTTAACCTAAAAACACATATGAAGGAGAGGAATGGAGTCATATTTTCCCATTCCACAGTCCTGGGCTTCCAAAATGGAGATGCTTTGGGTCTAGATGTCCTCAAGGAAAATAGGACATTTGGGTTTTGAGGCTCATTACATGGATGTGAAGGAAATATGGCCTAGAACCTGTGGATATTGTAGCCCAAGGGTCACATACTAGAAGACCACTACCTCTACAATGATTTCAGTGGTGGGCTTGGGGAGGGGAAGGGAAGAGGCGGGGCTGTCTTTTGTTAAACTGTAGGATATAGGGATGACTCATGACCTATACAGGGCCAAGCATTTAGCTTTCAAATGCCTCAAACACAAATCAATTGGACTACACCAGGGGAAAGCAAAATAAACTCACTTCCTGATTATGTTTTCTTTGGAGGGTGTCTTTCCTTGTTACCTAGGCTGGAGTGTAGTGACGCAATCATGCCTCACTGTGGCCTTGACCTCCCAGGCTCAAGAGATCCTCACACCTCAGCCTTCTGAGTAGCTGGGACCACAGGCGTACACCACCATGCCAGGCAATTTTTTTTTTTTTTTTGGTACAGACAAAGTCTTGTTATGTTGCCCAGACTGGTCTTGAACTTTGGGCTCAAGCAATCCTCCTTCCTCAACCTCCCAAAGTGTTGGGATAACAGGCATGAGCCACCATGCCCAGACCTATTCTTGTTTTTTTTGAAGAGCTGCAACTTTCTCTTGGCATCACCAACAACCGTCATTTTTTGAGGCTGTCTTCATGTAGACCCTGAGATTATAAATGCCAGCACTGGTTCCTACCTATCATGGTTGCACAATAAGTCACAAAGGTGTCCCACCCCACATTCCCACAGAGATGATAAAAAAAAAGTATTCTGTCTGACTAAACTTATTACTTCAATGGATAAGTGATCTTCCTTCAAATTATTGGCAGCAAGGTTGGCTTAATATCAACACTTCTGAAACTTTATTTTGAGCTGGTAACTACAATAGTCCATAACACTTACAATAGCTCAAGTTTTTTTTCCTGGTAACTTTAGTAATATAATTGGCAACTAATTTAACCTGGAAGATTTATTGGCAAGTTATATTGCTCAAAACTGTATGTTTATAGTTATAGTTTTAACTATAATTTAAAATAATTCTGTATAATGAAATGGGGAATATATATGGGAATAAATTCTATTCCATTTATTTCAATTTGAATGTCCAAATTACAATGTTTCCCTTTGTGCTATAGGAATAGGATTAAATGGGGGAAGACTAGAATTTATAAGGGTTGTATATGGGGGGAGGGCAGAGATGGAAGAATGAGGGTTGTGATGATAGTGAATAGCAAAGAGTGAATTCTCTATGTTTTTGCTGTGGCACTGAAGTGAAGAGATATTAGCTTTAGCTGTTCACAAAATAAAGCATCATGATTTTCAGTGTTTGAGAGAAAATTGATGCAAAAAGTTTGCAGTACTTGACATGTATTTGCATGCACAAAATAAAATTATTTGTCCACCTTAAAAAAAAAAAAACAAAAATCTGGCTGGTCACGGTGGCTCACACCTATCATCCCAGCACTTTGGGAGGTCGAGGCGGGCAGATCACAAGGTCAAGAGATCGAGACCACCCTTGCTAACATGGTGAAACCTTGTCTCTGCTAAAAATACAAAAAATTAGCTGGGCATGGTGGTGGACTCCTGTAGTCCCAGCTACTCGGGAGGCTGAGGCAGGAGAATG